AATCCGGGAATAAATGAACTTAATCTTCTATGTTGTAATAAATAACTTCTATCTTTGTCACACAAAATTAGAAATGCCAGCTGTTTAGCGATAACTGTTAACGGGATGAAACATTATAGTCAAACTGAGTGAGTGAAACTTTTTTTTTTTTTCAGAGAAATACGGTGGTATTGTCCGTATTGTTGGGCAAATCGCTGGATTTTCTCGTTTCACTGTTCGATGGGAGCTTTTTATGTGCTTTTTTTTCTTAACTTTTTTTGCTTTTCATTCCTTGTCGAATAAAAAAAAAATTTACCATTGCACACTGTTCAATAATTTGTCAATTTTAAGGTAATTAAAGAATTTGCATGAACGCTTATTTTATTGCTAAAATTCGATTTAACGTGGATGAATAATAAGAATTAATCATATTTCTCTCGGTGAGATCTTCCGTAACTGGATCTTCTCCACCAAATTTTCGAAAACCAAGAATAGCATATACAGGACCGGCACGGAAGCGAGATTTCATAAATGTCGCTTTAACTTTATAGCTAACTCCAGTCAACGATGATTTATCGAGTAAACGTAACGTACTCAGCGGAATGTCTGGGAATGCATTACTGCAAAGAAGAAATGATATTAATTGCAAATTATCGAAAACTGAATAGACCTATTCAAATACGGAAATCCAATAACAGTTACAATGTCACGTCAATCACTTGATCTTTTTTTTGCACGGCTGTGACCATGAGCCTTCGGAGTTTGAATTTTTTCAAACTTCGGAACTTGAAGAAATTTGAATTCATTTGGTGTAATAGTGTATGTAATGCTACCATTATTAATAGTACGCTTATTCTCATTAAATATTATAGTACTAGAATGTCTATCACTGATCAATCCACAGTTTTATCAGATCGGAGAAACAGCAGAGCCAGTAAAATCGTTTACTCTTCCATTTTTGTTGTGACATTTCCGCGATATACCAATATGTGATTCTGGAAATTGATCATGAATGTCTCATTAAATGTTCTTAATACCCTACCTGAATATTTCTTCGCTATCCTCAGGTTCAGTGCCATTGACCACAGTAAAATGAAATGCTATTACTTGATGACTGTTAAGGAAGAGCAATTCCTCCTGCAGAAAAAGGATAATTTTATACAATTAGTAAAATTATAACGAGCATATTTTTGATAAATATTGAGAACACGTGAAATCACGTAAAAAAGCAATCAAACCTCAAAAGTTTAAAGAATTAACAAGCTTCTAACGAGAAAATGACTCCACAACATTAACGATTACGAATTAACTGAACTAAATTAAAAAACAATTAGAGCGAATAAACAAATCAAACCTTCCATTTCTTAAATCTTGTTTTCAAAATATCGCTGGTATCATTTTTTTCTACTAAAAGGGTCGATGCATTTACGTCAGGTCCGTGAAACATTAACACTTGGGGCAACCCTATCGTATTGATGTATGCTCTGAAACTGAAATATTTGTTACGGCAATATTAAAATATTGATCGTTTGTCCATAATTATTATAGCATTCGTCCTATTTCGTAAAGCATCAAGAATGACACTTTTGTTCGACACCGAAATTAATGTTCATCCTATCAAACACATTCTGTGGATAAACATTGTCGTAATCAGCTCTTCTCAGTGTCACTCCATTCTAAATTGATCTGTTAACCAATAAAAAATCAAGTCTGACTTACTTTCGATTATCCGGCTGATCAACAATGCAAATTGGTGCGCTACCAATTTTTTCTCGAATTTTTTTGACTGTATTCAGTGCGTTATTGTTAGCGCTTTCATCAGTATATTTCAGATTGTTACTAATCACAATAACCAACTTCACTGGATCCTGGGATTTACGATTATCTTATTAGAATAAGCTCTACTAATGAAATTCTATGCAAAATTCACTTCGCTATAAACATAATGCTTCGGGGTGTCACATACTGTGTATTAGGCCATGTGACATTAGATGTATTCTGCTTTAATTAACTCACTTCACTGGATTTCGGGTCATGTAACAGATTTTTTTCTATCCATTTACTGAAAAAACTGTCGCAATTAAAGACAAGCATGACAAAGACCAACATACACATTGAATATTGAATATTCGATGGAGTTTTGCATTGATCTTTTGAGGCAGAATGAATTACATTCTTGGTATGTTGGTTCAATTCTAAGTCTAATTATATTCCCTAATTAAACTGTTTGTGGTATTATGCCTTCTGTTTACAATTCTTAGTATATTTAGGTAAAGATTTCATTATCACTCAAGTACCACTTCATTATCATTTTCACTTAAATATTACGACCATTCGACTGTCATATTTTATTATTGATGCAATGTTTGGAATAGAAATCCTTGAAGTATTTGCGCCAAAAACGATTAAATCTCAACATTGCATGATTTTGGCATAATTTGATAATGATTAAAGTTGCTTCTGTTTATATAAAAGATGACTAACAAATCGTCGGCTCGCCAAAAAGAAAATCTCTTGTACGAGGATGAACTTAAATCGTATGGGATAATCACTCCGTTCATTGGACTTCCTTCTATTTCATTGGGGAGAATGGCATATCTGCCGAAAT